TATTGCCCCTGTCTTGGGGCAGGATAAGGCCTCAGGCTATATAAAGAGGGAGAACAGTGGCACTGGGAAGATGTGCATATGACGTGTGGCTGAACTTACACTGTTATACTCTCTATATTTTAAATTTTGATTACTAGTGATTCATAGACTAAAAATGGTTTTCCTTTTTGTTAGCAAAGCAATATATGCAGAAACTGCTGCCCTGACAAAGTGTTGTGTTGCTGGCGACACTGTGACTGATATTCTGTTGTGTAATTTATTTGGTAATATACAACAAGGCAAGATTTGCCCCATTCCTTGGACTCCAATATGTAGCTGCCTTGGGATATATACTTGAAGCCAATAATCAGGACGAAAAAAAACATGTGTTCAAAAGATGTGCCTGCTAGCAGTATTTGTAATACAGAAACACAGATAGAAGGTGAGGACTCAACAATAAAGTAACTAAAAACAGTGATGGTGAAAATGAGAAATAACACTATAAAATTAGGAAACATTAAGATGAGGAATATGTGATTGCTTTTTTAAAAAATGATTCTTTTAACACCAAAATAATATTGTTGAGGCTGGAGGTAGAACACGTGCCTCCTATACAAAAGGCCCTGGACACTATCCCCCATAAATGATAGTTTTAACAGTTACCAGAAACTGAAAAATCCACAGAAAAGTCTTTTTCCCGTGGGGCTATTTCTTTGGGCTCTTTGAACGTGCTCCAGGGAGAACAGGGGGCACGTTCTTCTCAGTCCCCTCTTGTCCCTGTTCTCTGGCAGGTCCTTTACAGTCCTGGCTGATCTCATATTGTACCATTGCATCACCCTCTCTGGGCAAGGGATTCTCAGAAGTTGGAAATCACATACATAAGTTGATGAGATCTAGCTCTTTGGCAGTCTTAAGAAAGGAATCCTTGAAAACGGTTGGTATTAAGGACAAGGGCCAGATTTTCTGTAGTCTTGAGTTTCTGATCTTAATTGTTTAGTTGTAAGAAGACGTTTTGTCCCTCGTCTTGTTTCTAGTTCTATCTTTACTGTGTTTTGGTAGTACCTTTTAGTGTGTTTTAGGAGTGTATAAGGAGAATCATACACTTGTGGGATTAAGACTAATAGCCCTAATCTGCAAAGTTAAAAAAATCATCAACATGCTTTCTACAAACCCTGGACAAGCCTGATGGTATTCTCATAGGAAAGACAGAAGAGCAGGCCTGTGGTCTGAACCCAAGGTCCGACTGGTGCCCCAAAGGGTGCAGCTCTGGAGCCTAGAGACGTTCTGCCAGAAATTCAGGCAGTTTGACTACTGGGATTCACTCGAGTCCAGGAAGCTCTCAGCCACTCCAGGGACTTAGTGTTGCTGTCTTGCTGTAGTTACTTTCCTACTCCTGTGACAAAGCACCACGACCAAGCCAACATATAAAGGAAAGCATTTAATTTGGGGCTCAGGATCCCAGAGAGTAGTAGATCCCACGACCATCATGGCAGGGAGTCTGGCAACAGGTAGGCAGCCATGATGGTGAAGCTGCAGCTAAGTGCTTATATGTGAGCCATAAGCCAGAGGCACAGAGGGGTGGGAAGTGGGAGAGATGGCAGGATTAAGGGGAATGGATGAGCAAGTGCACCAGCTATTTAATTGGGACTACAATTTTGAAAACTCAAAGCCCACCCTAGTGACACAACTCCTCCAACAAGGCCACCTCTTAATCCTTTAAAAACAGTTCCACCAACTGGAGACCAAGCATTCAAGCATATGGCCTATGGGAGCTATTCTCATTCCAAGCATCCCAGGGCTCAGTGCGTTTGACCTCCACAAATACCTGCTTGCACACGGTGTACACAAACATACACATAAGTAAGAAACCTTTTTTAAAAAGACCTAAAAAACAAAATCAAGCCTGTTCATACAAACTGTCTATGGGGTGGTTCCATTCATGACTCTGCCCATCCTCTCAGGGTGCCGGCCCCCCTCTCAGCACGAATCACTCTCTGCTGCTATTCTGCTCTTTTTACTGTAGCACTTCGACAATTCCTGAGAAATACTTTCTAGTCTTACTTTTTCCTAGCAAGTCAGTCCTCTTAAAAGAATCTTAACTTCATTTTACTTCATTTTCATTTCTAAGACTCTGGCACCCAGATAATGCCTGTTGCTGTTTTCGGTTGGCTTATTTTTGCCAATTAATAAATGAGACATTTTTATAAAGACAAAGCAAGGTTAAAAAGATTTAGCTGGTAAAGAAATGAGGCCCAGCAGTTAAGAGCACTAGCTGTTCTTCCAAAGGACCCAGATTAGGTTACCAGCAATTTACAACCATCTGTAACTCCAATTCCAGAGGATCCAATGCCTCTTCTAGCCACCAAGGGCACCAGCCACACATGTGGTGCACATACATACACACTGCAGGCAAAACACCCAACTCATAAAAAAAAGTAAATAAATCTTTGGGCTGGAAAGATAGTTGAGTGTTTAAGCGCTCATACTGCTCTGGCAGGGGTCTGTGTGGTTCCGAATGCCGATGTCAAGTAGCTTACAACTGCCTGTACCTCCAGTTCTAGGTAATCAATCTGATGCCCTGATGCCTTCTGACCGCCAAGGGTGCCTACACACATCTGCACAGTAACACACATATACACATAATTAAAACTAAAAATAAATCTTAAAAAAAATTAGAAATGAGCCTCTTTAGGTTGAGACAGGGTCTCAGCATGGTGCCTTGGCTGGCTTAGAAGTTAATATGTAGATCAGCCTGCCCTTGTCTCCCAAAAGCTGGGATTAAAAGTGTGTATCACTGAGTAGATTGAGTTCTACAAAAACAAAATGCAAGCAAGATCAGCCAAAGGTGCTAGATCTGCAAAATATTGTTTCTTACAGCCAAACAATATCGAAATAAAAGGAGCAAAATGAATTATAGAACATCTCATTGCTGGGACACCAATTTGGGTTTCAAAGTTTATACCTAAACTAGGAAGGCAAGGCAGTGTCATCAGTACCTAAGAGTGGGTGAAATGGTGTCAAAACCACCTCATAGGGAGGCATGGAAGGAAAATGGTCCTGTGGTAAGTACTCACAAGCCTCCCATCTATCTTGTTCCAACAGGATCTGATATTCCACTAGGCCTCAGCTATGAGGCCTGTGTGGATTGCAAGGTCCTCAACTCTGATATGAGACCACTCCCTAACTTGGGCTGCTCAGAGGAACAGGATGCTCTAAATATTTTAACATTATCTTTTAAATGTGTGTATGTGTGTGACTGTGTGTTGTGTATGTGCCATGTGTGTGCAAGTGTGGTAGAGACAGAAGAGGTTGTTGGATTCCCTGAGCTGCATTGACAGGTAGTTGTGAGCAAGGAAGCAAACTATGAGCTGCTAAACAGCAGTTCAAGCTCTTAACTGACTGTCTTTCCAGCTCCACCATGCTCCAGTTTGCCTACATTTTTAAGAAGACAAGAAGGGTTACCATTCTGGAAAAAAGTCCTCATGGGGCTTGAAATGACAGTTCTCCAGAGCGGGCGCCTGCAGAGAAGTAATGTTATAAGGGAATTCCCACGATGGGTCCCATTCGCTACTGAGAGTGGATCAAAAGGCAAAGCCTTACAACATGTCCTGTTTTTACTTGAGTATGTTTATTATTTTTGTTTTTTAGTATTAATTTGCTATAAAATCTCTTAAAGAAATAAAACAAAATATGCTTTGAGTTAGCTCTTAGTAGTCACAATAGAGAGAAGGTTGCAGAGAACAGCCAAGCCGGATTCTGGCTATAGCCAAACCCGAGGGTAAAAAGACCTCACAGTGAAGAGAGAAAAGTTACAGGGGTTATGGAAAGGTGAGCTCTGGCTGGAACGGGAAGTCTTGCTATTCTGTCAGCTGCTTGTTTACTGTTCTCATTCACTAACCCAGCAGAGGCCCTCTCCTGAATGAGACAACAGGGCAAAGCTTGAGGACCGTTAAATGTTCTGCAAACTTGACCTATGCTTCTAACAAGACTTTTTCCAAAAGAGAGCTCTTTTGTGCAATTTCTGAGACTTGACATGTGACCTAGCAAAGGCTGCATGCAATGTGACCAGCCCACAATTCATTCATCTTTTCAAAGTGTACTTATTTTCTATGTACCAGCCTGAAAATAGGTGTAGGTACTGTGGTAACCAGGACAGAGCAGACCCAACTTTTACAGGACTTTCAAACAAAGCACAGCTCAGTAAAGAGATCTCTTCTAAAGGTGTCCACAACATATGGAAGACACCTGGAAGAAAGGCATTCATTGGTCAGTGAGGCTGAGGCTGCACAATAAGCCCTGGTGAGGCACGGTCAGAAGGAAAAGGAGACCATAGACGGCCTACAGGACAACCTAACAAATTTTTAATGTCATAGTTAAAGTAGCTGGGATCCACTGGAAGACTTTTAAAAGAGGAATAAAGTGGTCTAAGAGATTATGCCTGCAGCTGCTTTTTGGCATTAAACAACCAGCATACATATATTCTGCAATTCTCTGTGACAACTAGCCAAAGGTCTCAACTAGTTTCATCTTGTTTCTTTGATAATCTGTCGTAAGTTAGTGGAAGACGATGGTTTGAGGCAAACCTTGTTTCAGGGCCCAAAGGGGTTTCAAGGGTATATTAAACGATTTACACGTAGAGTACAGCGACGGTGCCTGACACGATTATGGTACATTTTCAGAAATGTTCACTTTCGTTAGCTACACCAGAGGGTTCAAGCGAGGAGCACCGGACACTTGTGAAACTGCCGCCACGGTCCTCCCGCTCCCCTTTCCTTTCTCTGAAGTGGAACAGAGAGCAACAGTCACTCAGTGAGAGGCGCCAGGCCAAGCGCAGCCTCAATGCGGCCATTGTCATCCAGCCGCACTTCCCCCGCTCACCGCGCGTCCCCATGGCAACTCCGGGCTTCGGCTCCCCCATTCCCTCCCGCCCCTCGTCCTGAGGACCGGAAGCCGTGCGCGCCGGGGGCTTGTGGGAAGCGGCTGTAAGCGGCGGCGCTGCGTCTGCCCGGGACGACGAGGCTGCGGAGGGTCCCGAGCCAGAGGTCAGCGGCGCGCGGGGGTAGGGTTCGAGGAGGAGGGGGCGCGGGTAGGGGCCCAGAGGCCGGTGTCGCTCGGCATCCGGGGCGTGCGCATAGAAGGCCGCGGCGAAACGGCGAAAGGGCCGCGGCGGCCTGCTGCACTTCGGGGGTCCGCAGCGCCTCCTGCGCCCGCAGCCTCGCCGGCTGCTTTCCCCTCCCCCACGGCCGGTTTTGTTCTATTTCGAGGCTCTGGCGGTTCGCGGAGGATTCTGGGAGACGCTCAAGCCGAGATGGGAGCCGGCGGTCGCGCACAACCTGCTGGGATTTGTAGTCCCGCCAGTCCAGGGCGGAAGTGCCTTTCCTGTGTGGCGGGGTGGTTCTGGGGCCTCTGCGGCCCTTCTTGGTGAATGCTGGGAAGAGGTCGTCGGAGTAGCTGGGACAGGCTGGGCGCCGTGAGGCGGGAGGTCGCTGAAGACTGGGATCCCGCCGAGTGCCGGACGGCGTTCCTCCACATCCCATGAGCTTGGTGCAATACAAAGTAAAAGAAAAAGCAGTTTCTATTACGTAGAAATACTTGAGCTGTTGATAAAGTCGGGTCCAGGAATAAGAACGAATAACTTTGATTTTGTTATCAGGACATCCCACTTCTGAGTATCTATCTATATGACCTGTCAGTTTGATACAGCATTTTCTGATCGTTTGTCTTCATCTTGACCGGTTTCAATAAGGTTTTCTAAAGTTTCTGGTTTTTAGGTTCTTTCTTGGCTCTGATAAACAAACAGTAGCTGTAAACTGTAGCACGGTTATGATTTTGCAGATACCAAAAGGATCAGAAAGTAGCTCAAATTTCCCCAAAGGAAAAGCTAGGGGAAGCTGCCCGAGGAAAAGCCTCCCGTCCACTGTGAGAAGTTGTGAGTGCTTTTTCCTAATAGAATTTGCTGCGGTTGATGCTTGTATGGATGGTGTGGTGGAAGCCTGGGTAATATTTGCATGCTATGTAAAATTGTTTCTTCCCCAGTGTTATGTGATCTGTTACTGAACTGTGTAAAGAAAGCCTGTGACAAGATCTACTAGCCCAGGTTGGCCTGGCCATGTAGACGAGGACTATCTTGCTCTGCTAGTGTTGAGGTTACAGATTTAGGACACATACCTAGCTACAAGTTAACATTCTTCACATATATTTTAGGTTTAGGGAGTTCCTAAACAAATAACATAGCATTTATACACAATTCTGAGCGTTAGCTCAGCAGTAGAGCACGATGTGTAGATGTGTAAGCTCCCTGGATAGTCGGTAATTCCAGGGGGTTCAGGCTGGGGGCGAAGTTGATCTGCCCAAGATCCCAGATTGCACATAGCAAAAGGAGGGAACTAACTCTTGCCTGTTGTCCTCTGACCTCCACGCCTGTGCTGATATGTTCCAACACAAAATAAATGGCAAAAAACATGTTTTGTGTGTCCTACCCTTCTGAATATTTAGTTTGTTATTTTATGTATACTTGCTGGTGTGTTTGCCTGGTGCCTAAGGAGGTGAGAAGAGAGAGGTTTGTGGTGCTGGGAAATAAACCAGGGTCCACTGCAAGGGAATACCTTCTTAACTGCTGAAACAAGGAGTCCCAAGCTTCAGCACATTTGGAGAACACTGAGGTAAACTATTTCTTACCTGGATTCTTTAGGTTATTAAATTACCCTTTGTTGGCTATATGACACAAATTGGCAATCTTTTTTTTTCTAGAAAGGGCAAGATAGTAAATATTATATTGTTTTAGCTGAAATCATTGAATGCTGTCAACTCTACCATTACATCCCTGAACCACGATTAAATTTAATGACTTATATATACAAAATTTAATCATATTAATGGGGCTGGAAAGATGGCTCAGTGGTTAAGAGCACTGGCTGCTCTTCCAGAGTACCCAAGTTCAATTCCCAGCACCCACATGGCAGTTCACAACTATCTGTAACTCCAGTTCCAAGGGGTCTGACATCCTCACACAGACATACTTGCAAGCAAAAACACCAGTGCACATGAAATTAAATCACTTTTAAAAACATTTTTACATCTTATTTGTGTGTGTGGGACATGCACTTGTCATGTCCCACTTGTGAAGACCACACTTGTAGAAGTAAGTTTACACTTCTGTACATGTTGGTCGTCAGACTCAGGTCATCAGGCTTGGCAGCAGGGCTTTGCCAACTGAGTAACCTTGCTGGTCCTAGACAGATGTATCATATTTTCTCAACATGAAATGTTTCTGTGCTTTTTAGTCATTAACATTTTTACACTACTTATCTGTGGATGGTGTAATAGGCAGCAGGCTAGATTGGCTGTAGTTTACCAACTACGGTAGTATTTCAATTAGTATAGGTTATTGATTGGAGTTTTTAAACCAATAAAACAACATACCTTTTTTTCTGCTGCTTTTGAATATCATGGGATACTTGGTGATTTATGTATCTTTTATTTCTTATACCTTAGGAGTACTTTTGAAGAAAACAAGGTATTTCTCTGAGGTCTATATCTTGCCTCGATTGCCTTTTCTTGAAGTATTGTAACAGGATGTCTGCACAGTCAGTGGAAGAAGATTCAGTACTTATCATCCCAAATCCAGATGAAGAAGAAAAAATTCTGAGAGTGAAACTAGAGGAAGATCCCGATGGTGAAGCGGGATCGAGCATTTCCTGGAACCATCTCCCTGACCCAGAGATTTTCCGGCAGCGGTTCAGGCAATTTGGATACCAGGATTCACCAGGACCTCGAGAGGCAGTGAGCCAGCTCCGAGAACTGTGCCGCCTGTGGCTCAGACCAGAGACACACACAAAGGAGCAGATACTGGAGCTGGTAGTTTTGGAGCAGTTTGTTGCCATCCTTCCCAAGGAGCTCCAGACTTGGGTTCGAGAGCATCACCCAGAGAATGGAGAGGAGGCGGTGGCTGTTCTAGAGGACTTGGAGAGTGAACTTGATGACCCTGGACAGCCGGTGAGCATGCTCGCCTCATTTTCCCAAGGCAGAAACACTAACATAGCAGTAGACAAACTGCTGAATTAACTTGACTTGGCTACGTTAGAAGTATGTTTATACCTCCCTCCAGTTTCCTTGCAACTCTGCAATACCTCTACTGCGCTGCAAGCTAGGATTCTTGTATTTTTTGTATAGCTTGTGTTATGTGTGCTTAGTGTCAGAATTCCTTCTCAACCAAACTAAAATCTTGTTTTCAGGTTTCTCTCCGTCGGCGGAAACGGGAAGTGCTTGTAGAAGAGATAGCATCTCAAGAAGACGCTCAGGGATTACCAAGTTCTGAGCTTGATGCTGTAGAGAACCAGCTCAAGTGGGCATCCTGGGAACTCCACTCTCTGAGGCACTGTGGTGAGGACCAGGACACCATGTGGCCTTTTCCCAGAGTGCTTTGCTTGTTCTTGTGGCAAAACCCTTTTAATCTGCTGTTTTAGAAATACCTATGCATTAAGAGCTTGACTTTTTCTGATGATTGATTCAGTGGCCTCAGGTAGTTTTTACTCCCAAACACTAACATCTGTAGCTTTTTTGCAGTCTTCTTTCATAAAAACCTGCCCATATTGGGCTTACGTCTGCATTTCTCAGCCAGTACCTGGAGACCAAGTCTGTTTTGTTGATGGGATTGCTTAGCTGCCGTCTGTTTCATGGGCTTTTGCTTTCAGTTTCGTGCCTAACCGTATTGATATGGTGAATTTATCTGAAACCGCCTTCAGCTTTTTGTTTACTGTATCACTGAAGTTTTCCTAAAATTCCAGCTATTTGTTTTTTGCTTCAATATTCTACCTAGAATATTTTAAGAAACTTTCTTTTTCTCCTTTATAATTTATGTATATGGGTATTTGTCTTTATGTGTGTGTATGTAGCATGTGCTTGTTGGGTGCCCTTGGAAGTCAGAAAATGATGTCAAATTTCCTGGAGCTGGAGTTACAGATGGTTGTAAGCTTCCTTGTGGGTTCTGGAAATTAAACCTGGGTCCTCTGGAAGAGTAGCCAGTGCTCAACCACTGAACATCTCTCCAGCCCCCTCAAAAAACTTTAAACAGATTTATCTGTCTTTTAAAACTTATGTGTAAGTTGTGTACAAGTGTGTGCATGTACTGTCCAGTCAGGAGAGAGCATTGGAATATACTGGTACTAATGGCCATGTACGATCTAGTATATACTAAACTTGTTATACTGTGGTTTGTCTCTGTGACGTTTTGTTTGAGATTGCTTCAGGAGTCAGTCCTTGAGGTAGGTGGAATACTAGCATGCCACAAATTAACCTATGAGCAGTGTTCTTCTCCTGAGAGGGAGTGGTACTACAAATCAGAACTGGGTACAGGTTTAATCTGCAACACTGGGACCTTGTTCCATTGGAAAGTTCAGAAACTGTACTTGTCCTTTCAGGATATGTTTTCATGGATAGAAAACGTGTCCTCTTCCTAAATGTCAGAATATTTTCCCTCTGTTGGCCTCAATTTAGCAATCTAGTTGCTTCCACATCCAGAACATTTCATTTATTTCAGGTCATATGTCCACCTACCCTTCATATTTGACTTTTCAAGTATGTAACCTCATGACCCTCAGGCCCTTTGCTCTCCCTCTCTTCTGCTTTCTCACTTGACTAACCTTGCTATCATCTATCACTGGTGGCTTCTGAGTGCTGCTGCTCATTGTGTGACAACTGTCCACTTTCTACTCTTAAAAAGTTCCAGAAAAGTTGTTGGTGAGACTTGTTCTTACCCCTGCCTGTGGGCAAACAGTGCTGCCACTTTAAAAAAAAAAACCCGAGGCTTTTTTTCTAGACACATCTCTCTAAGACAAACAATTTTTCTAGCTGTCACAACAAATTCCAAGTTTGAACAAGTTTCCTTAATAGGGAACCTTCATTTATTGTATATTGAAGTTTTAAGTGTCATGACTTTAGTTAACATAGGCTGCCCTCAGATTAGCCTTAGCTTTTTTGTCTTATTCTTTGAGACTTGGTCCTACTTTGTGGCCCTGACTGGAACTTGCTTTGTTCTTGGAACTGGTGTTGAGTTCATCTTCCCTTCCTTGCCTTCCCGTTAGTGTTGGAGTTAAAGGTGTAAGTCACCACACCCAGTTCTTGGCTTTTTTTTTCATCAGGACTCCTGTGTTCTGCTCTAAGTTCAGTATTGGCTGTGACATACTGACCTATTTCAGCAGTAGCTACTACTACTAACCTGTTTGACAGATTTTTTATGTTATACCTTTATTTTGATGTAATTTCTTAAAAAACAAAAACAACAACAACAAAAAAACGTTTCTAATTTTTTTTTCAAAGTTTTTTTTCAGACCTAACCATATCAGTTTGCTTTCCTCCCCCTTTATCTGATGATCTATTTTTTTAATGTGTGTATTATATGTATGTATGTGTATGTTACTTGTTCGGGTATCCAAAGAGGTCAGAACAAGTTGGATCCCCTATAGCTGGAGTTGTGGTGCTTGTGAGCTTCCCAGCACCTATGCTGGGAACTGAACCTGAGTCTTCTGAAGGATCAAATGTTCTTCATGGCTGTGCCATCTCTCTAGCCCCTATGTTAAATTTAGATAAAACCCTTTGTGTCATTTTGCTATCATGCCATTAGCTCATTAACTTCATAATCTTGCTGGTTTTTGTTTTTTGTTTTTTTGAGAGTAGTCAACCTTATGTATTCATAGATGTACACAAACTGTTTATTTTTAGTTCATGAAACTTTTTTTTTGGCCAGGCGTGGTGGCACACACTTTTAATCCCAGCATTTGGGAAGCAGAGGCAGGCAGATCTCTGAATTTGAGGAAAGCCTGGTCTACATAGTGAGTTTGAGGCTGGCAGCAGGTGCATAGTGAGACCTTGTCTCAACATCAACAACAAAACCCACTTTTTTCCTTCAAGTTCGTTTCTCTCCAACTAGGGATGGAGTGATGTTTACATTTTCTCTATTTCAGATGATGATGCCACGACAGAAAATGGAGCACTGGCTCCAAAGCAGGAGATTGCTTCAGCGGGAGAGTCTCATGAAGTTCCAGGCACTCTCAATATAGGTGTATCTCAGATTTTTAAATATGGAGAAACCTGTTTTCCCAAGGGCAGGTTTGAAAGAAAGAAAAATCCTTCTAGAAAGAAACAACACATATGTGACGAGTGTGGGAAACACTTCAGTCAGGGTTCTGCCCTCATTCTTCATCAGAGAATCCACAGTGGGGAGAAACCCTATGGATGTGTTGAATGTGGAAAAGCCTTCAGCAGAAGTTCCATCCTTGTGCAACACCAGAGAGTCCATACCGGAGAGAAACCCTACAAATGTCTTGAATGTGGGAAAGCCTTTAGCCAGAATTCTGGGCTCATTAATCATCAGCGAATCCACACTGGGGAGAAACCTTATGAATGTGTTCAGTGTGGGAAATCCTATAGTCAGAGCTCAAATCTTTTTAGACATCAGAGAAGACACAATGCAGAAAAACTTTTGAATGTTGTGAAGGTTTAAGAAATTAGGAGGAAACAATTAGCACTCAGGTCTTTTTCTTCAGAAATGAAGACAAAATTAAAAACATGAAGAGATATGGAATCTATTTTTCCCCGTTGACTGAGAAAATGCACTGGGAAATACAAAAAAAAAAAAAAAACTTTCACCATTATTATCTTGAAAGAAATGGTGTTATACCTGCCTAGAAACTGAAATTTTAAGTAATTCAGGTGTTAAACATAAATTCTCCATGTGATGTTTATATTCTCTTTTTTTCTCCCCAAGTAATGAGCTACCTGATTCTTTGTCCCTTTTTCAGACAGCTACTGTTTCTGTGTTGGTCATTGGAGTGTTGTTCTGTGAGGGTGCACACCTTTTTATTTTAAAAGGCAACACAGGAATTGTAAAGTCTAAAAGCCCATCTTCAAGATTTAGAAACATCCTTGAAAGCTTAGTTTCCTTTTGTTCAGGTTGTGTATTTTTGAGAAAATAGAAGATAAAGGCCAAAGCCTCGGAGTCAGATGAGCCTTAAGATCTCAGATGAGTAATGGTAGCAGAACTTCAATGAGTGGAGGGGACACACTGGGGAAAGTACCCAGTGAAGCATGTCACTTAGGTACAGTCATCCCGCAGGAAAACGAAAAGTGATTTTATCTAACTTGTGGGAATCTTACTAATTAAAGTGGTTTTCCTGTGTAAAAACAGACAGTTGTAAAAGTGATGGTAAAGACACCAAGGAAGAGTGTAGTGATGTTGACATGGCTTTTAGAGAAACTCAGCCGTCTAACTCATTTGCCTCATCCTGGTTAAGGATAGGACATTCCTTGATGGGGTAGGCAGTAATATCAGGTTTGCTATTTTTATTCCTTTGGTACAAAAGGGTTGAACACCAGGCTAAAACAGCCACACATTTATTATTAAACATTTTTACCGACAATGCACTGTGCTAGGTACTGTAATCCTACCGTACATAGGTAGGTATTTGTTCCACTGTAAGTCATAAGGGGTTTCCCCATCAGCATTCCCAGGTCACCTCTGAGAGCCCCAGAGTTGTAGTTCTCTTGCCAGTATGTTGTGTTTGGAGGGAGACGTTGGCTCAGAGAGCTAGCTAGTCAGCTCTTAGCATTCTTCACAGGTGAGCTCATGACACACTCTTTTAGTTTTAAAATTAATGAATCTTAAAAATGCAGACATCATTTCTAGTAGCATTGTGGCTGTAACTACATGTTGAATGGACTGTACTTTAAACAACTAAACTATTAATAACTAGTTTATTAACTGTCAGAGTTGATTTTTTTTTAAATTTACAGTCTTAACACATTTTTTTAAAAAATGTATTAAAAGTAATACATTTTAGTAGAAGGATTCTGTATGCCTTGGCTAAGAATCCAAGTACTGTGGCTCTACTGTTTAATGGAAGACTATGGAAAGTTAAAGCATTGGGTGAGAGAAGAGGCTTTTTTATATAAGACAGGCATTGTTACATGGAAAATTATCCATGGAAGTACAGGTATTTAATACCTCCAGTGATTTGGGTCATATCTAGTGCTTTGTCAAATTTTACCATGAAAAGTGAGATTTTTGCGTGAGCCTGTTGAAAAGCAGTAATAAATGCCAGGCAGCTGGTAAAATGAGGCAGAATGAAGCTTGCTCATGATTTCCTGATAACAATTATAAGAAATGTGCTTTATAGATTAAGATTTATTGAAGTATAAATATGTAGTAATGCTATAATGTATTTTTAAGTTATACAAGAAAATGTAGGGACTTTTGTTTGGGTTTTTCTCTGTGGCTGAGAGGAAACAAGTTGTTCAATAAAGCTGGAAACTACTCTGCTCTAAGATAAAGTAGCTTGGAATTGCCTTACTTATTTATTAACGACTGGCTTCTTTCCCAGTAGGATTTTGAGGTGGCACGTTTCTATAAAGCCTGCAGGGATGACAGAACTCTTAGGGGAGGTAAAGGGGGAGTAACCTCTGGGTGGAATGTCAGTCTTAACAGTTTTAGGATAGATTTGTCGTGAAGGCCAAAGCTGCTTGGTGACGTGAAAGCACAGAAGGTAGCATTAGAGTTGGTGACCATGTGAGGTCCGTCAGCCCTGACACTGGTCCTTTTGGGAAGGAAGCTCAGACAAGGGGTTTTTACTTCACTGACTGTGCTTAACTAATCAATTTATAGTTAGTGATTGCTGATCTCAGACCTATCCCCACACATATTTTGGGGAGAGATAGTAATGAAGTAGGCATGTAGCAGGTGCCAAGCAGTGGCCTGCCTAGCCAGCACCATTCTGGTTAGCAGTTTTCTTAAGGCATGCATACTAACTGGCCCAAAAGGCTGATCTTAATCACACCTAGTTGATGTCTGACCATTGCAGCCTGTTTTACACCTACGTGAGCTTAGGGACATTTTCTGTACTTAAACAGTGTGTTTGCTAAGGACTGGATTGGGATACCTAATCTCACCTAGATCTGTGGACTTGAAAAATAAGACCCGCCGGGCGGTGGTGGCGCACGCCTTTAATTCCAGCACTTGGGAGGCAGAGGCAGGCGGATTTCTGAGTTCGAGGCCAGCCTGGTCTACAGAGTGAGTTCCAGGACAGCCAGGACTATACAGAGAAACCCTGTCTCGAAAAAAAAAAAAAAAGAAAAATAAGACCCAAAGATCACATGACTCGGACATGGCAGAGCTAAAACTCCCAAGACCAAGATTTTTGATTGGTCTGTCAAGAGTGATGGCATTCAAGTCCTGCTTAGTAAGCACTACAGTTTTTGTTTTTTGTTGTTTCTTTTTCCAGTTAACAAACCTGAAAAGCTATTGTATATGCCCATTTGAATTTTTTACAATGCAAAAACAAAAGATGAAAGAAAGACATCAGATTTAGCCAGAAGTAGTGGTAATCTGGCTTATTATCCTTCCAAATTTAGTGCTATACACATTTGTGACCTTTGGGGTTGAATATAGGCAACAACTCCAGTGCTTTCCTGTGCTTTAATGCTTCGCAAACCTGAGGTAGTAACATATCTCCATTGTACACCTGTTGTGACACTTGCTTTCATTCCTACACTGATGTGGACATTTTCATAACTGCGTAGTATTCCACTGCATGAATACACTCAGTCCATCTAAGCAACACCATGATGGGTTAGAAGGTTTTTTATACATAGTAGGTACGGCTAACATCTATAGACATACATTTACTACCTATGTAGTTGTGTTTGTAACACAAATAACTAGAAATGGATTTATTGGCTCATAAAGTTCATATTTGACCTTTTTGTGGGTAAATATAACTTGTACTAATTTAATGACTCCATTAGTAGTAAGAATGCCTGTTTCCTGCACTCCTGTCTTGCTGCTAATCCTAGAGGCCAGTTTTTTCATTTTTTTTGTCACACCTTTATTAGTAAGATGGAACATTTTTTGTTCATTGGCCATTTTTATGTCCTTGTCTGTCCTTGCCCATTTCTTTTCTTTCCTTGTTTTAATTATGAAAGTATAAATTACTACAGTTAACACCATACAAAACTTAAGAATAGAGACTTTTCTTCAGGGTTTCTGGTTGGTTCCACTTTCCCGTGTACTGTATGACACATTTCCATGTGAATATGCAGAAATGTGGACACCTTTTAAATAGACAGGAGTATATAGGAATTTTAAGATATCTTTGGTATTTAAATTCCTGTAAGGTGCATGGCTAGCTGTTAGTTAGACCCTCAGTCATCAGTGAAGTCTACACCAATTCTGACAAGTGCTCATTTCCCCACAGAGCCTTACCTACACTTGATACACTTGATAGTCCTTATGGTTGGGAAAAGTGTAGAGAAAAAAGAAACTGTCCTTACTTCCATTTCTCTGATGAATAGTGAAGATAGAGCTCTTTGTTGGTCGTATACAATTCCCTGAGGATTGTTCATTCATAGCTTCTACTGCCTTTGTATTGGGTTATGTATGGGTGTCTGTTCTGCATTTCTCCCCTCATTTGTGGTAACATTATCCATACTAATTGTGGATAACTCATCCCATATGGCTTTGGTGAGCACATGAGCAGGCCTGGCCTGAGCCACGCAGCATCCAAACAGCAGTTAGAGAGTAGGCATACAGTTTAAAGCAGGTTAGGGAGAGTGCTCAGCAGAACTGCAGCCACTGGCAAGAAGGCTATGGAGACGCTGGAGACTCAAGGACCATGTGAGCCTGCATTTTTACTACATGGAGAAAATACCTGAGGAGAAATTCAAGCCAGCATGGATGGTGAGAAAACTTAAGATCTGTTATTTTTCTTAGGGCCTTAGATCCAGATGTGCCTAAAGCCTGCCCTACCTCTGGACTTTAAAGTTTTTTGAGCCAATAAAGTCCCTTTCTTCTTTAAGATAATTGTATTTGGCTTCTGTGCTGATTAATATATAGGGTATTTATATTTTCTTACTGATTTGTAGTAAAACTTTGTAGTTTTAAATTATATACTTCATGCATTATATAAATTAATAAAATTAGCATGGTCTTCTGTGATTTGGGCTCTGTTAACCTCTGCCATGTGTCACCTTAGTCTTTGTCCTCCCCAGTTCACACACCACTTGTATCCTTGACATTCTGATAGTTACTGAATGCTGGCTTTCATGTCTGAATGACTTTCATATGTTGCCTCCCTCCAGATTCATTTGGGTCCAGGTGTGTTAAAACTCCTGATTCAGCTTGTCTGACAGTTTCTGTTGCACTAGGACCAAAAGCAACTCGGGGAGGAAAGGGTTCATTCCATCTTACAACTCCTAAGTTGCCCTGCCTTAACTCCTGTCTCCAGGTTAAGTCAGGATAGGAACTCAAGACCAAAACTTGGAGGCAAGAACAGGATAGAGAGGCCGTGGAGGAATGTTGCTTGCTTATTGGCTTTTACCTAATGGCTTCTTGAACCTGCTTTCTTATAGCTCGCAGGCCACTAGTCCAGGGTTGGCAGCACCCACAGTGAACTTGAGCCCTCCCCCATCGGTCATCAAGAAAATGCACCACATGCCTGCCACAGCCCATTATGGTGAGGGCACGTTTTCAGTTAATATTCCCTCTTCCAAAATGATTCTAGCATGCATCACATTGACTGCCAGCACTCTGCTGTTCCTAGCTAACAATGCTTAGAGCATTACCTTCAAACTTAAGTGTGTGGTCCTTAGAGCCCTTCAAAATTACCTTTATCTAACATGAGTTTGGGAGAGGGGACATTTTATTCCCTGTCCAAGCCCAATACCTGATATGGGGAAGGAATCTTATGCAAGGCTGTAGGGCATTTCCTTGATTGATGATTGATGTGAAGACCCCAGCCCATTGTGGGTAGTGCCAACCCTGGTCAGGTGATCCCGGATGATCTGAGGATGTGGGCTGAGCAAACAGTGAGCATACCGTAAGCAGTACACTTCCAAGGTCTCTGTTCATTCAGGCTCCTGCCCTGAATCCTTCCATGATAAACTATGATATGGAAGTCTAAGTGGAATAGACCGTTTACTCCCAAAATTGCATTTGGTCATGGTGTTTTATCGCAGCAATAGAAATCTTAAGATACACAAATACATGTGTATACATGTGTGTGTGTGTGTGTGTGTGTGTGTGTGTGTGTGTGTGTGTGTGT